AGGGAGCAGACGCACCTAGAGCAGCAGCCTCGCTAGCACCTAGAGCAGCAGCCTCACCAGTACCTAGAGCAACAGTCTCAATGCCCGGGTCGGGCGGAAAACACCGGTAACAGTCACCCTCATCACTAATAGTCACAGTATACATGGCAGCAAGAATAGCATCAAAGTCAAGGTCAAAGACAGCGACACCCGCCCTAGACAGCTCACCCCAGCGGGGGATCTCAGTGGCCTCAGGGAACTGGTGACGCCAAGCGTCCGTCAGGTGGCCAAAGCAGCGCTGGGTGGAGTGCGCACCCCCGCACTGGTCACTCGCGCGGTCGCCGGTGCGTAGGACGTAGGTGCACGGACCAGTACCCCCACCCCGCTGGCGTGCAGCGTACCACTCACGGAGCTGCTGAGGAGGGGGGATGTCACGAGTGCGCTGCTGCTGCTGCTGCTGCTGCTGGCGCTGACCACCACCGGAGCCGACCCTCTGCGCAGCGCCACCCCGACCAGCTCCACCTCCTCCGCCGCCGCCTCCTCCCCCGCCGCCACCTCCGCTCCCACCGCCACCGCCGCCGCCGCCTCCGCCTCCACCGCCGCCACCGACACCTCCACCCCCACCACCGCCCCCACCGCCACCCCCACCCCCTCCACTGCCTCCACCGCCGCCTCCACCGCCCCCGCTAGCTCCTTCAGTGCCCCTGCCCCCCTTTCCCTTGCCAGGGCGGCGTCTCCCGCTAGGGGTAGACGCCGCACCGACCGACTCAAGCCCAACGAGGTCGGCCGCAGCAGCAGAGGCAACAGAGGGCAAAAGAGGGGAGGGGGAACACCCCTCAAAGATGGGGGTGCGAGGGTCACCACGAGAGGCTCCTACAGCTACTATGCTCTTCTCTGCTGCTAGGAGGGACTTCTCGAGGAGGTCAACGGTGAGAGTGGTGGGGAAAACTGAGAGGAAGTGGTCCCTGACTACGCGAAGGGAGTCAGGGAGCCGGGTGACTATGTAGTAGAGGGTGATGTACATGGGGGGGGGGTTCTTGGCGCAGAACTCAGTAGGAAGCGCAGCGCGGTAGCGAGTGTCACTAGTGCGGAGGTGCGTAAAGAGGTCAGCGACTGTGGGAAAGGCAGCAAGGTCAGGGAAGAGGTACGGTAGCATGAGGCGGCTCAGTGCAGCAGTGGCAGGGGAGGAGTAGCGCGCAACTACAGCGTCGTACAAGGTCTGAGCACTCTTGTACTGGCTAAAGTGCGCACGCTCAGAGGTAGGCAGGTGGCGACGCACAGCAAGACGTGCAGCAGCATCGCGCGTGGCCCACTGTGAGCGAACAGTGGCGTCAGCATCAGCAGCGGGGGCAGGAGAGGCACCAGAAGTGAGGTCAAAGAGGGAGAGGCCGTCTGCTCTGTCGCACTGTAAGAAAAGCTGCAGGTCATCTATCCAGACGTCAAAGTCAATGGCCCGACCCTCAGCGTCAAAAGCGAGGACACTAGGGGTAGCCATGACAGCAGTAGACTAGCAGCGCAAACAGTAGGGTGAGGGCAGTGCTGTGAAAGAGGCGCTGCTCTTACCGGACAGGGCGGCTCGGGTGGTTCGGCTGCAGGGCGGCTCGGCGGCTCGGCTGCTGGGCGGCTCGGCGGCTCGGCTGCTGGGCGGCTCGGCGGCTCGGCTGCTGGGCGGCTCGGCGGCTCGGCTGTTGGGCGGCTCGGCGGCTCGGCTTCTGGGCGGCTCGACTGCTGGGCGGCTCGGCGGCTGGGCGGCTCGGCTGCTGGGCGGCTCGGCTGCTGGGCGGCTCGGCGGGGCCGCTGAGAGGGCAGCGTCCAGGGCCGCTGGGAGGAGGCGGCGGGGCCGCTGAGAGGAGGCGGCGGGGCCGCAAAGGTAGGTGGCGGGGCCGCAGGTAGGTGGCGGGGCCGCTAGTAGGTGGCGGGGCCGCAGGTAGGTGGCGGGGCCGCTGGTAGGTGGCGGGGCCGAAGGTAGGTGGCGGGGCCGCAGGTAGGTGGCGGGGCCGCTGGTAGGTGGCGGGGCCGCAGGTAGGTGGCGGGGCCGCAGGTAGGTGGCGGGGCCGCTGGTAGGTGGCGGGGCCGCAGGTAGGTGGCGGGGCCAGCAGGAAGGTGGCGGGGCCGCACAGGTAGGTGGCGGGGCCGCGGGTAGGTGGCGGGGCCGCTGGTAGGTGGCGGGGCCGCAGGTAGGTGGCGGGGCCGCACAGGTAGGTGGCGGGGCCGCACAGGTAGGTGGCGGGGCCGCGGAGGGCGTAAGGGGCCGCGCGAGGGGCCGTAAGAACGGCGCGTAGGGCCGTAGGGGCGGCGCGACGAGCCGTGAGAGGGCCGCTAAGGGCGACGCGACGAGGCCGTGAGGGGCCTAGCGAGGGCGCGACAGTAGGGAGAGTACACCGGGCGCGACTCGGGCCGGAGCGAAGCGCGCTCCGGGCAGGAAAAAAAAATTCGTGGTGGTGGGCCCTAGGAATCGTTCCCACTAGGGAACCTGCTCGATACCATGAGAAGAAACGAGGAATGAAATGACTAAGGGAAAGTTGGGTACAAATGCAAACCCTAGGAAAACTGTACCCCATATGTGCTACCCCACTATAGCCTACAGTAGCTATGTCATATAAATCTGACAGGACGGGCTCAAGTTGTCCTCACTGGTCACGCAGACGCTTCCTGGGTTGACGACTTGGCTACGCAGCGGTCGTCACAGGGTTACACCTTCAGCCTTGGCTCCGGCTCTGTCTATTGGCGGTCTACCCGCTCTTCTTCTGTTCTCAGCTCCAGTTGTGAGGCTGAGATCTACGCTGGGGCCATGGCTGCACAGGAGTTACGCTGGCTCACCTACCTGCTGACCGACTTGGGAGAGGCGCCTCGTTGTCCTCCAGTTCTGTACGTCGACAACAAGGCCATGCTTGCCTTGTGTCAGGAGCACAGACTGGAGCACAGAACGAAGCACATTGCTCTGCGCTACTTCCTTGCTCGAGAGTTGCAGCAGCGTGGTCAGCTTCGTCTTGCTTACGTGGCCACTCAGGCCAACACTGCTGATATCTTTACCAAGGCACTTCAGCCTTGTGATCATCAGCGCTTTTGTACTATGCTAGGTCTTGTGCCTACTTGGCCTCACTTGCTCACTTCTTGACTCTGCTTGTACTGTGATCTCTATACATATACTTGCATGCTTACACTTGCTAGGTTGTGTTCACTGTATTGTTTGTTCTCCTTTATATAACTCTGCATGTGAACTGGCCTTGTGGCCATTTGCTTGTGCTCAGAATGCGTGGTGACGTCGTGATCCACCCTGAGCTTGCTTTGCCTTTCTTGACCAGTCTTGTGACCTCTTGTTCTCCCCCACTTTGCCTATGGGGGTGTGTCAAACTTATATGCTATATTCTGTTTAGGCTGTAGTGGGGTAGTTCATATAGGGTACAACACTTTTAGGTTTCCTACTTGTACCCATCTACCGTCATCGCCCGGATATAAGACATGTATGTCTTATCTCATACATTAAAAAAAGCAGTCTTATAAATGGACAAAAATCCGTTTAGAAGATACTTCCTCGTTATACATTTGCCATTTGCCCCTACACACAAATAGGTGTCTTATAATGAGGCTACCCCGTTTATAAGAGACACCCGTATAATAGACAACCCCTGTCTACTATTCAACACTGTCTTATATCCGGGTGATGACGGTACCGTATTTGCTAGTTCAGTCATTCATTCCTTCACTATTCTGACAAATTGCGCAGGGCAATACCATTCATAAACACTGGAGAACATGTTTGTATGAGTACTGGTCACAGAAAGGCGTTGATGAAGGCAGTGATTTTACATAAGTACCGTATAAAACGGCCAAGGCGGAGATCATCCATCCACTCCCCAACCCCAAGGAGCATGGAAGTTGGCATGGATACAAGTGCTTGTTGCAACTTCACACCTCTTCCTTACGCCATAGTTGCGAATAATAAAAAGACGATTTGTCAAGGGTATTATTGTGTCTGGTCTGGGCTTAGAGAAATGCTGTAACTTGTACCATGAATTAGCTGCTTCTACAATGAACGCCTACAGTTTCCCTTGTTGCTGCTGCTACTGCTGCTGCTGCCTTTCCCTCCATCCGAAGACACCAGGGCCCGTTTCAGTGCCACAAACAACTCACAGTCAGGGAAGGACAACCCCTCTTTGTGTTGACCCAAAACCCCTTCCCCTGCCCTGCCCAGCCTCTGCTAGAGCCCACAGAACGTGGTCCTAGGCACCCCACCCACCGCCCTTCCAGCCATTGCTTCACGGGCAACCACGCACGTGCTGATAATCATTCAGACTATTTCAATAGACATTGCCATCATCCAACAAGCAGCCCAGGATTGGCTTCCTGGATGCCCCTGCATCCCCGCGCCATCTCCTTCACACCCTTTTACTTAAACAGCCTGCATGCACCACCTTCCACTCACAGCGTGGCCAGCTCACTCCTCTCGACCAGGCATCACCGCTTCAAACCCATCCAGTCCCACTCCATCCACACGACGTCACCAGTGGCTTGTACCCTACGTCCTGCTTCTCCTCATTCCCGCCCCCCAAGCCTCAGTCGTCCTGCCTTCCCCTTCCACCCGCAGCGACGCACGGGCCTTGAGCATCACAATCCCATGGCTAGCCTGTACCTCTACACCATCCATAACCGCTCCCAACCCATCCAGTGCCACTCCATTCCAACTGCACCAACGGGCGGCTTACTATGACTGGTGCGTCAAAAGACTACCTGCACCCCTGTTTCCTGCTTCCCCTCCTCCCCACACCCCATGCCTCAGTCACCTTTCTGCCATCCCCTCCCACTTGCAGCGATGCACGGCCAGCCGTACCTCTCCAGCGCGCATCACCGCTTCCAACCCATCCCGTTGAATCCTTACTTCCTGCCTACTTTCTTCCCCACACGCCTCGCCTTAGTCGCCACGGTCGCCTCAGACACCCCACGGCTGCACCATCCTTTTCTCATAACCAGCCCATACCTCTCCACCGCACATCACCGCTCCCAACCCATCCAGTTGAGCCCTACTTCCTGCTTCCCCTCTTCCCCACTCCCCATGCCTCAATCGCCCGTCTCCCATCCCCTCCCACTCGCAGCGACGCACGGGCCTTCAGCGGCTGCACCATCCTCATTGCAAGCCCATACCGCTCCTTCAAATCCACCTTGTTACAATCCCCCCCGTTACAGTCACTCCCGTTACAGTCACTCTTGTTAGAGCCTGTAACAGGAGCTTCCCAGTTGAAGGCGTGCACGAGTCGACCCAGCATGATGGTAACCAGCTGGTGCCCGAGCCTCTGCCCGACGCACATTCGCCTGCCCGAACCAAACGGCAGCAGGCGGAAATCAAATCCCCTCATATCCACCTCCTCCCCCACTATCCGCTTCACACCCTCCCCTGTTCCGCTCTCGGGCAGCTCGAAAACTTCTCCGGGCAGGAACCGCTCCGGCACGAACCTGTCAGGCTCGGGCCACAGGCTCGGGTCACGTGAAATAGACCAGACATTAACTAGCACCATAGTCCCTGCAGGAACCCTGTACCTGCCGCTACACAAATCGACAGGGCCGGTGGTACTATGAGCGATCAGGAACGCGCCTGGAGGGTGCATGCGAAACATCTCTTTCACGACGGCCTGGAGATAGGGTAACTGCATGAGCAAAGCTTCGCCTCCCGTCTGATCCCACGCCGCCTCGAGATCAGCTTGCGATTTGATCTTATCCGATTCGTGCTCCCTGTGCCACTGCTCTAGCGCGCCGTCTATCTCCATTTGTAGCCGCTTCATTGCATCCGGCCGATTTACCAGCTCCGCTAAAGCCCACTCTGTGCTAACCGCCGCCGTGTCTGTACCCGCTACAAGCAGATCCTGTAGCAGCGAAGTGATTTCCACGTCATCTACCACCAAGCCTGATCCAGCTGCCGCTGCTGCTCCCGCCGCTACTGCTGCAGCAACAGGGGTTTTACCAACCCCGAACCCAGAACCCCCGTTCACTGAATCATTAACACCTTTAGACTCTTCCTTAGCATCAGCGCATGCACTGCCATTCATTTGGCTTTTCTGCTGCTCTTGCTGCAGCTGTTGCTGTTTCTGCAGCATCAGCAGAACATCTAGAAAGTCTCTTTCCGGATCTTCCGGGTTCTCAAGAGGTGCGAACGTGGAAGCATCTTCCATTACCCCGCGCCTCTGTTCACCCTCCCTATCCGTCCCCTCCGTCCCATTCCCCTCCGCCTCCGCCGCCGCCGCAGCCGCCGCCGCTTGCGCCTCTTTCGCGCGTTTCCCCTCCTCCTCCCTCCGCATCCTCCGGTGATCGTCCAGCACGCCGCGAAAGAATTTTTGAAGCTTCGGCGCAAGTACGCGGCACTTGCCTGTCAGCCCGCCTGTCCACTTGTCGAACCAATCCCACTCTGCCACGTGGTCGACGTAGTTAAACGGCCCTAGGAGCCCCGCGATTTTGAAAATTACGGAGTTAACCTCGTCTGCGAGCGCGTCCGGTTTTCCCGGGCGGCTGAACTGGTACCGCCGCCCGCAGCTCATGCGGAGGATATTGTTCAAAGACACCCGCGCAAGATGCGGGCGGATCTCGACTTCCGCCCACGCGGAACCCTCCGCTTTCTCCGCCGCTTTTTCCGCCGCCGCGATTTCGTCGACCACGGCGGTCACCATCCCCTCCGCCTCGTCCGCGCGCACTCCGCGCCAAGCCGCGATTCGCTCTGCCGTGAATAGGTGGCTCGTCGCGAGCTTCCGCCGATGCACAAAAGGCGGCCCGTACGGCGCGAACACGAGATCGCGCGGTCCGTGCGTTAACAGAGCAGATGTGATCGCCGCGGGGCGCGACGCGCATGCCATGTCAGCATCCCGCAGAACCTGGCGCGCAGAGGCTGGGGAAGAGAGGACGACCGTTGGGGTTCGGCCGAGACGCATCCCCATTACTGGACCGTAGATTTCGGCGAGATCCGTGACCCGACGGTGAGGATCGCCGTCACGGAGGATGTCAGGCAGACTGCCGAAGAACGGCAATCCCCAGGGCCCTGGAGGGAACTTTCCGCGAAGCCACAACACCCAGGTGGAAGACCAGATCGCGGACGATTCGGTGACCACTTTCGCCTCGCCTTCGCCAGCTTTCGCACCCTTTCGCTTACGACTGGAGGAGAAGAGAAGAGAGACGGCTGGGAGAAGCCCAACCAGGAGGAGGAGGAGAGTGGGGAGGATGGGGAGTGAGAGAGTGAGGGGAGTGGGGGACCAGGGAAGGTCGATGTGACCCCATGAGAGAAGGGATTGCGCGTTGGGCCGAGGGGTAGCCCAGGTAATGCCCCCCCAACCCATCCTGTGGCCTGATCGCCTGTATGATGCCGTTAGAGGGTTGGGATATCAAATAGAACGACACCAGACTGGGTGGAGAAGCTGGTTTGTAGAAGAAGCGGACGGTGATTGACCTACGAAATGCGATTTGTGTTAGAAGCGCGATCGTGATGGGCGTTCAGAAACGCATAATCGAAAATATAAGCCACACCCGTGACAGGACCGGACTACCAAATCTATCGAGGGAGTATGCTTCAGTCCAGAGCGAGTAGAAATAGGAGACTACGCAAGCTAACGTTTACAAGCTGCTCTGATCTGCTAGACCGAACTGTGTCGATCAACTATCGCCACATGTTGGAGAAGGGGAAATCAAGCTGGGCCTTAGGCACAGGAGAAAACTAACCTGAACTTGGATTGAGGCTGTTTTCACGTAACTTCGTAACCATCTGACAGTTCCGTGTAGTGATTGTTTGAGAGGAGGATCTGCTGTTGCGAAAGCATTGACGTGACAGTCAGGCCAAGAAGCGACGATTTCTGGGTTTGAGGAGACGGTGCGAAACAGCTGAGATGTGTCATAGATACGCTGCGAAGTTACTAAGAGCAGTTGCTTTTCCCCTTCGCCAGAATGTCATGCGAAATTCCGTGCTGGACCTTTCATCCCAACCCCCGCCTCCAGATCAGTCAATCCCAGTCAGAAATCCAGCGCAACGAGATGAGGTGAGCCTTCGGCAATTTCGGAGGGGAAGTTTGTGACTCGGATGACGTAATAGCTGCTGGATGAGATGAGAACACTTCACACAACCTGGTCCACGTGTAAAGAGCATCCAACCTACAGTTTGACGTGGATATCGCTTCCATCCCAGCCTTCATTATCATCACACCACCTGAAACTCACCTACAATGCACTCATGATCGGTATAAACCTCCCCACCATCTAAACACGCTATATCAGGGGAACCCATCCTCAGTAGGACCTGATATATCCTACATAGCATGTTACAATGTGAATAATCTGATAAAAAACAAGTTCTATATTTCAATTAGCATACTTGTGGCATAATAAATTCTGTGCATGCTAACAAATAGTAAATGATAAAAACTTTATACACGAATTTTGTGTAGTGAATCTATTGCTATATACCATGTTCGTTTGTGTAAGGAAAAATCCTTTTCCTTACTTCGCGTCCCTGCTCAGTGCGTACACCACCGTTTCCCGCCAACAGCACCCAACAACAATCCGTTACCACTCGCGACATTCGCCTCGCCACTATTCCCGCCACTGTTCTGTCAAACTTATATATAGCTTATATTGTGTAGGCTGTAGTGGGGTATAGCCCAAAAGGGGTACAACCCAATTAGGGTTAGTACTTGTACCCAACTGTTTCATACTTCATTCATTCTCGTTCGTTCTTTCTTACATGGTTTCAGAGCAGGTCCCTTCCTAGGATCGCTTTTTTTTTTTTGGGCCCACCACCTGCTGCCCTGCTAGCCACTCTCGACCCTAGGCCCCGGCCCGTAGCCTCGTGACCGTCGCCCCTAGGCCCCGGCCCCGTCGCCACCCCTAGCCCGGCCCGACTCCCCTAGGCCAGTCGTGTCAGAATGTTATATTTGTCTAGCCTGCAGTGGGGTACTCAATAGTGAGTACAGCCCAATCTAGGGTTTGCTATATGTACTCAACTGCTTGCTAGTGAAATCCCTCTTCTCTGTTTCATTCATTCGTTCACATTCTAACATGGAATCAGAGCAGGTCGACCCTCCCGGGTCGATCCTGTGCATGGGCCCACCATTAGCTTCCGTTGCTGCTGCTGTCCTGCCTATCGCGCGCCTCGGGCGCGCGCTGTTTTCCTGTCTGCCGCGCGCTCATGGGGCGCGGCACTTTTTCTTCCCGCCGCGCGCCCTGCCCGTCGTGCCGCCCTGCAGGCCGCGCGACGCCCTGCCCTGCCCGTCGTGCGCCCCGAGGCGTACGACTGCTTTCTGCCGTCGTCCGTCGCGGCGCCCTGGGGGGCCACGCGTCGCCCCCCCCCCCCCCCCCCCCCCCCCCCCCCGTCGCCAGTCGCGGCGCCCAGGGGGGCCACGCTTCGCCCCCGCCCCCGTCGCCCGTCGCGGCGACCTGGGGGGCCGCGCGTCGCCCCCCCCCGTCGCCCGTCGTGGCGCCCTGGGGGGCCGCGCGTCGCCCCTCCCGTCGCCCGTTGAGGCGACCTCGGGGGCCGCGCGTCGGCCCCTCACGTCCTTCGTCGCGGCCCTGCCCTTCAGCCGCCCTGTCGCGGCCCGGCCCTGTCCTGCCCCGGCCCTGTCGCGGCCCTGCCCCCCCCCTTACCTCCCTACCCGCCAGCTCCGGCCCTGCCGTGTGTTAGGGTTTGGGGGTGGCGAGTATGGGGTGGCGGGTCTGCGGCCTCCCCTGCTCCTCCTCCGTCTCCCACTGCTGCAGCTGCCGCTGAGGGGGGTGGGTGTGTGGGAGCCGACGGAGTGGTGCTAGGGAGTGGAGTGTGAGTAGTGCTAGAGGTGCAGCAGGGGGTGTGTGAAAGGGGGGTGCGACAGTGGGGGAGGTTGAAGGGAAGTAGTCGTCGTGTTGCCAGCAGCGCCAGTAGTCCGGAGGCTACAATCTCCGGTAGCCCAGCGAGCGTGCTGCGCCAGTCGCCCGTGGGTCCGTTGCTCCTGCCGCTCGTCTTAGCCGCGGAGCCAGTTACTCCTGTAGTCCGGGGCCGTTGCTCCGGTAGCCAGTGCGCGCCGCTCCTGTTGCCCGTGTGTCTGCAGCATCAGCCGTTGCCTCCTATCTTCTCTCCTCTCACTGTCCCGCCTCCTCCTCCTCACTTGCCCTTTGTGAATGCCTCTAGCTTTGCTTATATTTGTGAACTGGCCTTGTGGCCTTGTTCTTGTGCTCAGAATGTGTGGTGACATCGTGATCCACCCTGAGCTTGTTTTTGCTTTTCTTGTTGTGCTGATTACACCCCACTTTGGCTATGGGGGTGTGTCAGAATGTTATGTTTGTCTAGCCTGCAGTGGGGTACTCAATAGTGAGTACAGCCCAATCTAGGGTTTGCTATATGTACTCAACTGCTTGCTAGTGAAATCCCTCTTCTCTGTTTCATTCATTCGTTCACATTCTAACACGTCGCCCCTAGCCCGCCCCCCCGTCGCCCGTCGCCCCTAGCCTGCCCCCCCCCCCCCCCCCCCCCCTCCCCCCCGTCACCCTAGGCCCGTCGCGACCCCCGTCGCCCGTCGCAACCCCCCGTCGCCCATAGCGACCCCCGTCGCCCGCTGCGACCCGTCGCCCCGGCCCGTTGCCCTGGCTCGTCGACCCCCGACCCGTCGCCCTAGGCCCGTCGCCCGTCGCGGCCCGTCGCCCGTCGCCCCTAGCTTAGGCCCCGGCCCCACGGCCCCTCGCGACCCGTCACCCCTAGCCTAGGCCCAGGCCCCGCGGCCCGTCGCCCCTAGCCTAGGCCCCTCGGCCCCACGGCCCCTCGCGACCCGTCGCCCCTCGCGACCCGTCGCCCCTAGCTTAGGCCTAGGCCCCGCGCCCCCCCCCTCCCCCCCGTCGCCCCTAGGCCCCCGGCCCCTCGGCCCTATCTCTCCTGGCCCCGCGGCCCCGTCGCCCCTAGGCCCCTCGCCCCTCAGCCCCTTCTCTCCTGGCCCCGCGGCCCCGTCGCCCCTAGGCGCCCGGCCCCTCGGCCCCTTCTCTCCTGGCCCCGCGGCCCCATCGCCCTAGGCCCTCGGCCCCTCGGCCCTATCTCTCCTGGCCCCGCGGCCCCGTCGCCCCTAGGACCCTGGCCCCTCGGCCCCTTCTATCCTGGCCCCGCGGCCCCGTCGCCCCTAGGCCCCCAGCCCCTAGGCCCCTTCTCTCCTGGCCCCGCTGCCCCGTCGCCCTAGGCCCCTGGCCCCTCGGCCCCTTCTCTCCTGGCCCCGCGGCCCCGTCGCCCTAGGCACCCGGCCCCCCGGCCCCTTCTCTCTTGGCCCCGTGGCCCCGTGGCCCCTAGGCCCCCGGCCCCTCGTCCCCTCCTCTCCTGACCCCGCGGCCCCGTCGCACTAGGCCCCCGGCCCCTCGGCCCCTTCTCACTTGGCCCAGCGGCCCGACGCCCCTAGGCCCCCGGCCCCTCGGCCCCTTGGCCCCGGCCCCCCCGGCCCTTCGGCCCCTTGGCGCCTTGGCCCCTTGGCCCCTCGGCCCCTACGCCCCTCGGCTCCTGACCCCCCTGCCCCTCGGCCCCTGCTGCTGCTCTTGCTACTGCTGCTACTGCTGCTGCTACTGCTACTACTGCTACTGCTGCCACTGATGCTCCTGCGTACTGCGCCCCGATGGCTTCGCTTCGAGTTCTCGCGTTTGATCATGAGGGCAGACTGATTCAGTTTGACGCGTGGCTTGACGAGCTGCAGCTGTACCTACTGAGCGATTCTAAGGACAGTGTTTTGCTGTTTGACCTAGCGTCAGGCGCCGCTACTGCCCCTCCTGCCACAGCTGACGGTGCGACTCGCTCACAGTGGCTTACTCGCGACGCTGCTGCCCACTTAGCCATTCGCAACCACCTGCCATTAGCCGAATGCGCTCACTTCGGACAGCACAGGATAGCACAAGCACTGTACGACGCCGTAGTTGTGAGAGAATTGACGAAAGAATTGAGTGAGGATGAATTCACTAGCAAACATTGGGATACATATAGAAAACCCTAACAGGGTTGTACTCACTACAAAGTACCCCACTGCAGACTAGAGAAACATAATATTCTGACAGTAGTCGCTCACTACTCCTCACCTGCCACTGCTGCTCTAGGCCGACTGCTACTGCCCTACATGTTCCCCGAGCTGTCAGCTTTTGCCACAGTAGAGGACCTGGTTTCCCACCTGCGCACTAGCGACGCTCGCTACCGCGCTACCGTCCCTGCTGAGTTCCTTGACAGGAACCAGCCCCCGATGTTCATCACCCTCTACTTCATAGTCACTCGCCTCCTTGAATCTCTTCACTCTGTCAGGGACCACTTTCTCTCCCTTGACCCGACCTCCCTCACTGTTGACCTCCTCGAGCAGCATCTCCT